CTACTTACCTCCTGTATGCGGATCGTAATTCGCTAACTTTATCTTTAAATAATTCAAAAAGTAACCGTCGGATAAAATTTTCGTAAAGGAAAAATCGTCTCAGAATTCAATCAGGAACACGTCTTTGCAAGGACACGGGGTCATTCTGAATCACCCTGTATACAAAGAGTACATAAGAGTATGTAACTGGTTATACAAAAATGGTGCCATAGATACGTCTGTCTGAAATTCACGCAAAAATGGTTCAAACAAAGATGCTGTTGTGCTGAAAAAAGTAAGTTTCGGACCGATAAGTTAGAGCTACTCTTCGAATCATTGACGGGTAGTGAAATTCCCGGTTTTCAAAGTAAATCCCCGGTTTTTTCCCGGTTTTCAAGGATTCAAGGTTCGCTGGCCACCCTGTACAATTACGTAAGCGTAGTTGTAAGTGGTTGTAAAAAGTCGTAGGACGCAGATGTAAACTATTATTGCTGGTTGTATGTTGTGAAAGATGATTTAACTTTATCTTTGACAACTACAACAGCGTAAGAAGTAAGAGCCAACCAATCAGAGTGCTGGTCATGTGATCTCGTCACCATCATTTTTGTAATGAAGAGCGTAAATAAACGCAGATCAAACGGGCCAAGCTATCGTTCTAAATTAATTAATAATGGAAAACGAAGAAAATACTGATACACAGCAGTCACGATGTAAGAATAATAGGTGTATTCACTCACCTACATTTCCCCTAAAATGCTGTGACTAAAGTGAGGCAGTTCATAACACTAGATGGTATAATGATCTAATACCTAACCTAATAATCTACTGTCTGAGAAATTCTGAGAATTACTGCTTTTCTGATTTTTAGTTTGTATCATGCCATATAACTATTGTGTTATTTCTAATTGCGTTCAAAGATATAAGTGCAGTAAGAAATCAGTATTTCGAGTGTCAAGTAACATCAAACAACGCTAAGAATGGATTGCATTAATTCAGCATGTATGTCCTGATATAAGAATACCTAAAATTTTCCTTGTTTGTGATTTTTCAGCGAAACTTTCTGGATTTTTTATATGTTGTAATCCTTACCATCCCGAACAAAAGTCTCCATGGCCGTGATCCTCCAAATTCAATATTTCGATAGATAAAGAGCAAATACTATCATAAATCCATATAATTAGATGATAAGGGGAAACAAGTGCTTAAATCTTTTCAAACCGGTAAAAAAATCAATTGCAATACATGTTCGCAGTAAAATGGACACAAAATCATAGAGTCAATAGTGAACTAAATGACTGACCTTAATCAATATACTTGCTGACATTCATGTTTATCTGATGACAAATCTCTGTATTAGCGCTACTGTCTGTTATGCGTACTGAGCTATCTTCTTGCAATTTTAATATGTAAATATTTATGCCACAACAATATTAAACAAATGCCACAACATAAAAGCACACAATATCGCACGCACATACAAGCATATGCTCTTTTTATTTATTCTAAATTTTTACTTTCCCTTCCGTGCATTGTATATGTGTACGCTCATCGATGCCGCCGGTATTAGCGTTACCCGATGTGTACCCGTGTGTATGTATGAATGTATGTTCGCGTGTGTTATGGCTTTTATTTTTAAATGTTTATATATGAAAACTATAACGAGATAACATAATGCACATAATATGCAGTAACGCCAATGCAAAGATTTGTCATCAGATAAACATGAACGTGAGCAAGTATACTGATTAAGGTAGAGTCATCCAAGTATTTGAGTATTAACTCTATGATCCAGTGCCCATTTTACTACATACATGTATAAAATTAATTATTTTCTATTGCTTTGGCAAGGGTTAAGCACGGTTTCTTCTGATAATCTAATTATATGGATTTATGATAGTATTTGCTCTTTATCTATCGAAATATTGAATTTGGAGGATCACGGCCATGGAGACTTTTGTTCGGGATGGTAAGGATTACAACATATAAAAAATCCAGAAAGTTTCGCTAAAACCCAATTTCCATAAGATTATGGCGGGGTTCTTTAATAAAAGATGTTTGTGCAATTATTACAACAATTTCTTTAATTATTATAGTTTCTTTTATTATTATATGTTTCTTTTATTAAGATCTTATTAGCAGGTGATCTATTCACATATCTTTTAAAATACTTTGTGGGGTTAGGTGTTATACATATACGCCACCTTCTGGTTAACTGCGGAATGTCCTCAGGAAAATCACAGTGATTTTACATGAGTAGAATCACCTATTATTCTTACACTGTGACAGCAGTATTTGTGTGCGTTCAGCGAATACAACGGTTGTACATCTGATCATTGAGCATAAAATGATCAGTAAACAGTTTTCTAAACGGTCTAAACGTTTATACATGCACAATAGCTACACAAAAACATAACCTTTATTTAAACAACGTATGTACCGCATAGTGTTTATGTTTGGAAAAGTTCTTTTAGATATTTACAATAATGGCTGCTAATTTTATACTTCTGGTTTTGCTATTATAGATAATCATGTTATAGAGAGAAATATAGTGAGACATTTTTTCGAAGAATTATAAAATGAATTACTAAATAATTCTTATGCAAAACGTGGTATACGCTGGTTAAAAAATCGAATGAAATAAATTATTTAATATTTTATATAAACTTGAAAAGAAAATATTTTATTTTATTTAATCTAATTTTAAACTTTGTTGTCTGGGGAAATTAACCTTCTGCAGACTAACCTGTTTTCTACTTAAACAAAAAAAAGTTTGTCATTGTAATTTTCAAAAGAATTTTGGACTAAAAATCTAAAAAAGGGAAAGTTCGGTCTCAAACGACCCAAATTGGTCTGTGGAGAGTTAAGATTGATTAAATAAAGAAATATTTTAAATGTTAAATATTGATATTCACACTGTTTGATAATAACCTGATATACTATCAATAACATGTTCAAATTTACGTATAGATAAGGCGGATAATTAAGATGTTTGTGGAAATGAACAAATATAACGCGGAAAAAGTATAATTCATTTTTTAAATTACGATTCGAAGATTAGACGATGCTGGCAGCTGATATTGTCTTTATCGTGTTAACGAGCGCTATATATTGTAGGCAGCCATACTGAGAAAAATGATTTATGTACCGCGGCAATATCAGTAATTTTACATAATGCATTATTGTGTACGTGTACATTTTCTTGTATACGTTCGACATTTCATAAAAATGTCCAAATTCCGCTAAATCTGCAACACGTTGCGCTTACTGAGCCTATTTGAAATTTGCTCAGAAAAATGACGTCCGCTCACTGAACTGATTGCAAATACGCTCACTGGATCAGACGCGTTCAGTGACCATTCTGCCAACAGTTACACAACCGTTGTATTCGCTGAATGCAACCTTTGTATTCCATTAGAAGATGGTTACGATCATGATTGATTACGATGTATCTTACTCTATTGTAAATTAATCTGTTGTTGCACCCAGGGGGCGGAGTGCGGGAGTTGATTTTAACGTCAGTGTATGTCACCCTCGGAATGATGAAATTTTGATTCTTAACATTTTTTCTTGTGTGCTTATTTTTCGAGATATTTGAAAGTTTCAGGTTAAAAAAACCACCCTGTATATTATTCACTACTACTGCTACTCTTACAACCATACGCTTACGCTTTAAACTCTTCATTGTAGACTTCTCTTAACAGTTATTGGGAGCTTGCTAGGAGCATCTAGCAGTATTGGTGCGTTCACATTTTACGCTCACACACTTTAAACATGCTTATAAGCATCGCTTATACCGTTCATTTTTCTCTGTAAGCTCTCACAAAAAGGCAGAGAAACATTTATGACGTCATTGTGACGTCATAGATATTGTTCATCGAGGTATGAAAGCAAAAGCGTGAACGCTTACAAATGCTTACAGTCAAATATAAACGCAAAAGCGTGGTGTAAGCTAAAAATAAAAAATGGATAGTGAACGTAATAGACGTCCCTACCGTGAAAATCGCATAAGACAAAATCATATGTCATGGTATACGTAAATGGGATAAGATCGTATGTGAACAGTATATGAAAGACATACGATTCATATCCGATCGTTTTATGACGTATATGCGAATTTTATACGAATTGTATACGAATCGTATACAAATCGTATACGATCATGCAATTAACATGTTATCGCATACGATCGGATATGATTCGTATGTCTTTCATATACGAATTTGAACCCTTCATATACGATTCTTATACAAATTTACGATAGGGGGGTGATATGTATTAGGCATGTTCTTTTTACTGAACTGGTGCACAGAATGCAATAAGTTGAAGTGGAACAGATATACGTTTGTTTCATTTTCAATTGGTTGATCGGACAAAAGCCAATAAGCGAATCTAACAAGGAAAGAGCAAACAACGATAGCAAAAATAATAACGTGACAATTGTTTCGATTCATCAAAGTTCTCTAAGAAAACGAATCTCTCGTCAAATCAACTTTCATAAGATGTTCTAGCGATTTTCCACAACGTTTGCAAATTGGCAGTTTAGATTAGCTTGATCAAAAAGGTTGCAAATCAGAAACGATCATTAACATTATTGCACTGTCCGAACTGGTGCACATAGTGCAATAAATTAAAATGAAATAAACGTATATCTGTTTCACTTCAACTTATTGCATTTTGTGCACCAGTTCAGTAAAAAGACAAAACAGACTTATGATGATACCCGTAAATTTAAAAGATGCAGAGACTCAATATTTATCTCTGCTGAACAAGCAACGGTTAAAAACTGGTAAGTTTATAATATAAAGCATATCGATACGTTTTGATGTTTGTCATTTATTTATATACGAGCTAATTGCAAGACTAACTTATATTGGTCTCTTTTTATTTATTTCTTTGCATTAATTATTTTTTATTCATTATTGAATCACTTACAAGACCAAAGTGAACGACTTTGCTTGACGTCACAAGATTTACAGCACATGCGAAACAAAAACAAACGTTTAAAAATAACGCTTATAAGCGTGAGTGTTTAATGCGCGTGAGCGTAAAAAGTGAACGCACCCTATGTGACACAATCACGGAATATTAAGAAGGAGTAAAATCTTCATAGGCTGATTGCCTGAAAAGTGTCCCCGTTTCAATTGTCAATATGGCGTCAGAGACAACCCACTCTTTCCTATTTGTGACGTCAGCGTCACTCGCCTTGCAGCAAATTGTCGAAAATGGGAAAACGCGTTTATACAGTTCTTAATTGCCGAAATGGGCTGGAATGCACCAAAAAATGAAACAAAGAATTGGGAATTAACAATAAAAGTCTTTTTAAAGCACCTAAAGTACGTAAGAAAATACTGATTACATTTTGTAAGGTTATGTGCAACATTTATGGTTATTCTTTTTTATTATCAGGACAAAAATTTGTTGGATCGGTGGACTGCAATTTTAGGTCAGTTGAAAAGGCCACTTACTGAATATTGTTTCGTTTGTGAGGAACATTTCAGCATCGATGATGTTTTTCATTCAAACGATATTTTACTAAATGATGGTACAGTACATCATACTAAAAAAATAGTATTGAAATTGAGACCAAATGCTATTCCGATAGTTGCCGAGAATTTGACCGGTGACGATTGTGATGATATAAATATAGAAGTACCGTCCTTGTTTGATAACGTTACTCCTCAAAGAAACGACAATTGTGAACAAGCTGTAGAATCATCCACCGCAGAAGATATCAACCAAACTCCTGAAAAATTAAATTTTGAAATGTTAATATCAACGTACTCGAACATATTGCTTCCAAGTTGTTCATGGGGTGCAATCAAAAGTGAAAATGAAAAATCTATCACATTTTTAACAGTTGACAAAAATGAAGTGTTACGACGTCTTAAAATTTATGATGATCTAAGTGTACAAGTGCTTCTGGACGATATTCCGATTAGAATAAAATGTGTACCGAGTTCTGTAGAGTTACAGAAAGATATTGTCAACATACTTCATCTTATTCATAATATGGAAGTATGCAAGAATTTTAAAGATGCAAAAAGGTTATTGAAAGAATAATTAATCTAATTATATATAAACTTGTGTACATATAAACTTTTGTATCATAAAATTATTTAACGTGTATATAATACTACAATTGTATATACGAAATTGTTAATATGCATTCGACATTTGATTAAATCTGATAAGATGAAATGGCGATGTGATGGGTTTCTATAAAAGGATAATTTAGTTATATCATGCAAGAAGTGCATTAATAAAAATAGAAACAAGATTAAGGAATTTCAATTGGAAACAAAAATAAAGAAAATAACATTATCAAAAAAATTGTTAATGCGTCAAAATAAACGTCTCAAAAATAAGGTAAATATATAACTGCTTAAATGTCATAATGACATAACTCGTACTAACTCGTATATAACTCGTACTATTCAGTAATATAACGTAATATGTTATTTAAAAAATACACATTTATACGCGTTGTTACGCGTTTTATTATTTTCTACAATTTTTCGATCAAAAAATTGTCATCTGCTGCAAAGCAAGCAATGCGCAGACGCTGACGTCACAAACCGGAAAGTGGGGTCCGTCAGAACGCCATATTGACAATATAAACGGAGACACTTTTAGAAGCGGAGATTTTTACTCCTTCTTAATACTCCGTGCTCGTGTCGTGAGTCTCGTGAGGACATTCGAGCGAGACGGACGTGTTTCGCCCCGTCTCGAGATATATTGCGCCTCGACCAATATTTTTGAAAAGTGCTGCCGACTTCGACTGTGCATTGCATTTCTGACTACGAGAGTTCTCTCATTTGTCTCGGCGCGTGGCCGTGCGGTGAGGAGAACGTTTTACGGGCACCGTAGCCACAAGTGTCCAGTGCTTGGGGGGATGCGCCATTTTTTTTCCGTTATTGCATCATTCATTTATTATCCGTGTTTACCCGGTTTCGAGGCGGCCAGTGCTTTTGTTTTTACAATATGATTTATTAATATCTTTCGCGGACCTCAGTGGCCTAGTTTCAGCCCGGTGGGCTGCCTGGCCAATAATTGAAGAAGAAGAAGAATGCTCGTGTCGTGCTGCTCATACCTCGTGGTTGCCGGTGATTGCCAGTAGTTACTCGTGGCCGTGTTAAGGGGGTATACCTAAGTAAAGGCCTTAAAAAAAGGCTTTCTTTGTCAATTTTTTTAAAGTAACTATAAGTTTTAGAAGAAATATGAATTAATGTATCAATTTGGTACACTTTGAAGATATTTTAAGAATTTTTATATGTCACTCGAGCTGATGAGTTTCGAACCGAAATTATTGAGCTAAACTTCGGAGTCGAAATCAAGTTGAGTTCTAACCAAATTTCACAAGCGTCGCAAGCGATCCGTATTTTTTTTTTTTTTTTTTTTTTTTTTTTTTTTTTGATATTTCGGTTCGAAACTCATCAGCTCGGGGCACGGCTCGGCTCGGCTCGAGGCTCGGCTTAATCATCAATATCAATATTATCATTATCGTCAATATCGGACATCGTAAGAAAGATTGCTTGATTTTCCACTATTTTTTTCTCATTCACTTTCTTCTTCTACTAAATTAATGGCTCCGCCTCCAGATAATGAAATAGGAGGTCGATACGGCCAGATTACGTCTTTGTAAGAATGGTTCTTCAGAACTGTCTCTCATTCACCCATTTAGATTATGATTTGGTTGCAAGTTTTAAGTACTAAGCTTTAAGAGCTGGGATCTGGCCAGATCGCTTAGAGCTTAGAGATTACAGCTTCAGGCAGCGCGGGAAACATTTTAGACCGGAAACTACGTCACACTTAGAGGTTAGAGCAGAAGGCTAAAGGCTTAAAATGTCTATTGTAGATCCGGAGTAACGGTCATCTCAAGAATATATACACTATATAACAAAAGACTCAAGCACATAGGTAACAAAAGAATACCAGTAACACTGTCTGGGTTACCTATCATGGAACAAAGTCGGAATGGATTTCGATTGAAATTATTCCGTTTTCCCTAAAAAAAAAACATAATAGAAATGTAAGAAATAATTGAACAATTCTCCGATCGGAATCCATTCCGACTTTGTTCCATGATAGATATTCAGGCAGTATATTACCAGGTATTCTTTTGTTGGAGACTGCTAAGATTTTTCAGGTAGCGCGGCTGGCTCTACCAGTGGTATCTGACAATGTTCTACACATATTTACTATAGTTTCGTTA